TGGGCACTCGACGGTGGGCTCCTTGTATATGAAGCAAGACGAGGGGCCTTGACTTTGACTATGACTATTATGGTTGGGAGGTCTCCGCCATGGAGTTCTACCTCGTTGGGAAGACTCGTATTCCCCTCCTTCGCCTTCAAGTCTGACACTTCCCCCACCTTTGGAGGAGTTTGATCGATAATTTTTATTCACACCACTTGCGATTGTCTGGTTTTGCCTTATCTCTTACGGTTGATTGATACTAAGATCAAACGATCGTTTGGTTGTGGCATAGGTCATGGAAAGGTTTTGAACTCTTTGTTCATAGAGCTTGATATTCGCCCCCAACTTAACCCTGGAACAAAACTAAAGACCTAGTCTTTTTCAGACATATCATGAATATCTAACATAAGCCTAGAAAATTGCTTCACATAGTCTCGAATATTGTTAATATGCCTCAGTTTTCTTAACTTCCTTCTTGTGATGATCTTGATATTCTCTAGAAAGAACTGAGAGTGAAGTTCTTGTTTTAAGCTCTCCAAAATGTCTACAATACAACGACCATCTTGAATGTCTATGTACTTGGATTTTCACCCCAACTTTACATTGTCAATTAGATAGATTATTGCCAACGTGACTTTCGCTTCTTATGCCACAGTATTTATGGCTCGAAAGTACTATTTGAGGTCAAAGATAAAATTCTCTAGAGCCTTAAGATCTCAAACCCCACATAAGGCTTGGGATCTGAGACTGTTATCTTTTTGAATCGGACTACACCCCCATTGGAGTTTAGTTCCCCAACACTCTCATGGCGAGGTTTAATATGGCGCTTAAATCCGTCATTCCAACCCTAACCACTCCAAGGGCTATTCTCAAATCCTCAAACATTTTTTAGACCATCTAAACGATAGCTTGTTGGCCATTGCTAAGCCCTCTATGCATTCTTCCATTACTGCAACAGGGCTCATCGAGTTATCCCCACGATCGAAGCCACCAGCAATTGTGACCTTGTCTTTTAGGACCTCAACCGTAACCATTAATTCACAGGCAGACATTGCCTCAATGTGGTCTGTCATCTCGTTGATGATGGTGTTAATATAACACATGCGGAAGCAATTTGAATCTTAGGCACTCTAAGTACATCAATTATAGTAAATTAGCTAGCATGTTCAAAAGCATTAAATGAGTTTGAATACTAACCTTTTGTCGCTCAAGTTTCTTTTTCCTAACGAACTGGTTTCGAATCACCACTAGTGTCTTCTCCACTATTCTCCAGCCTTAGAACGGGATTATGGAATTCGATGAGTGACTAAACTTGGGAGGGATTTAGTATATATGAAGAGAGAGTTTGTGAGATTTTTTTTTTCAAGGTTTTCCCTTGGAAGACCTTACATGTACCATGATCACTCTATTTATAGAGTCAATGTTTGCATGTTCATGCAAATTTGAGATCACCAAATTTTGACATTCAAAATTTCACTCAAATGTTTGGGATTATGTGGCAAGCAAGCATGTTTGAGTTAACCAAATTTTGACTCTTAAAATTCCACTCAAATTTGTGGGGTTTATTTGGTAAGCATGCAAGTTTGGTTAAACCAAATTTTGACACCTCAAAATTCCACTAACATAGGTTTTCCATTAAAGGAAGTCAACCTTTTGACTTTCTTCATTTTAATTTAACAATTAATTTGAATAATTAATTTCAAATGAAAGTAATATAAATGATTAATTAAACTATTTAATTAATATTTAACATTAATTCAAAAGTCAATTCCAACACATATTTGATTAAAATATTTAAATCTTATTTAAATATCTTAAATTCTCTCCTTTTATTTAATTCGTAAGTAAAACAAAAATGCAGTTAAATATATCGTATATATGTAGCACATATTCCCTAATTTGAATTCGAACACTTCGAACTCACTCGTCACATTGTTCTATTGTTTAGTCCGATATGAGCTAGCAGAGGGACTTGATGGACCTATAGATCATGGGCTCCAACGATCCAAGATTAATCGGTTAAACTCATTAACCTTGTTAATCAACAACACTCGTTAACTACTAGGACACTCCACTATAGCCTAGTAGTTGCACTCCCCTCACTATAGATATATTTCTCTCCATTTGAAATAACCATGATTAGTAAGTCCATCCTTCACAGGTTGCTCGTAACTAGAGCTGGGTCAATTAGCCGTTTTACCCCTGAAGTTACTTCTTGTTCCTTATGTCCCATTGATCCTCTTATGAACAATTGGTTTGTGGTCCAACTAGTAAACCGAATCCCTCTCAAGCCAATGAGAGGGTGGGGCCCCTTGTTCAAGACCTGGAGTCAATGCTTAAGGGAACTACCTCTCTTCTATCCCCAAAAGTGGGTAGGAGTGAATTCCATCTTGCACCCCACGTCCCCAGCCATTCACCCAGTCTTACCTCTGAAATGGGAGGCCTATTGAGTCGGCGAACTTGAGCCACTCTCAACCATGCAAATCTAAGGATAATTCTTAATAAACAGGAGTCCATGGTTAGCTTAGGATTAAAATCAAGTTACCTAGGTCATCGAATGAAAAGAAAATCAGTCTCAGCAGTAAGCGACATTATAAAGTTAGAGTGATTTTCTTCATGGTCCGATCTTATGCAATACTCATTGCATAGGACGCCCCCACTCACATGTCTCCACATGTACAATTTAGTGATCACATTGTTATGTCATATACAAAAGTGGGCTGCATCCATAGTGTCCCCAAAATAAGGTACTCAGCCTTATCCCTATACTATAGATCATTTTAACTATATACTTGAACTTGATTCACTCTTATGTCTCTACATATAGTTCAAGTAATCATACTATAGTCAGGGTGTTTTTAGTTTATTGGAGTTAGATTAATAATCATAAAATTCACTTTATTCAATAACAATCTTTACTAAATAAACAACAATAATAGCTTTATTGAAAATAGAATATGTTTTTGTTTACGAATTATGAGTTTTAGAACATAAAACCCAACAGTGGATCCTATCGACTTTAGCAGCAATCTCATTCATGTGAGATTCCAAAAGGCTCATTTCATTAGGAACTTTGCTCAGGTAGAGTAATTAGCCTTCGGTCTCTACCAATTGGTCAACTTGGGACTTGCTAAGTCGTTTTGCAACGTACATGTTTGTGTATTAAGATTCATAAACCAACTTGAATCTCATACAACTTGTGACAATCACACTCTTGTGGCAGCAGGACAGCGATTGTGCGACACTAGTTCTAACCCAGCGAACAAGTCAGTCGTGTTGATTTCGCATTTTGTAGACAATGTTGGCATATGATCGAGTCTTGAGTCACGTTTGAAAGAAATATTTTAGAAAATGTGAGCGAGAAAATATGTCAAAAATAATTTTAAAGAAAACAATGTTATAGGCTAAAAGTGAATAAGCGGCAACAACGACTTTGATAGAATATAACCCGGGTAGGAAAAATTGGCAACTAGTCACATCCCCTTAGTTTATTTGTTGGCATTTTAGCCCTGACAGGTGTAGACTTAATTTTGGTTATCGGTCATACACTCCCGTATTGGCATGACAAGAAATAGTATAGGTCTATTGATATGAACTAAGAAGACGTCAATCATGCAATATAAACTTCAAAGAAGATGTGAAAAAAATGTTGTTCAAATTATCACAAGATGTTGCAATTCATGTCAAATTAAAGAAGCATCGAGCTTCATTTATTTCTAAATGGTTACAAATTTTTTATGGATGATAATTTAGAGTTAGGTTGTTTTTTTAATATATTTTACGGCTTATTTACATAGTATACACAATGAAGCCATGTATGACCATAAAGTATACACAATGATTAATTATGGTTATAAAATATGAAAGCTACCACTCTTAAAATGTCAGAGGGAAGATTATATGTTTTAATTTTGAGGCTATATAAAGCCATGTATGCTTTCTTTGTGAAGAGAATTAAAATATAGTAAAATAGCATTTGTACTTTCCTTTAACCAATACTAAGTTTATTTGCTATTCTATGTAGTTTAGATTGAATGTCTAGAATTCTTCCCGCTAAACATGATCAATCTAGCTGGTGGAGTGATTAGAATCTCAAACAAGTGTTCTTGCCTTGAGATGTTTGATCAATAAGATAATTTGGATTTTACCTTAAAGTGATTCATTATCATGGCTAAGTGTCCACCTTTCATTTAGGTAAGAGCTAAGGTTTTTTTTTTTTTTTTTTTTTTCCTTAGAATCATTAAAGCTTAACATGATCGATCTTATATGTAGAGTGATTCGAATTTTAAACAAATGTTTTTGTCTTAAGATATTCAATCAACAAGTTAATCCAAATCTTACTTCCCTTGTGATGATTCCTTATCACCTATCTAACATGAAAGCAGGTAAAAATAGCTTGGAACGGGAATACAGCACTGAACAATAGCCCTGAACAAGCATAATCAAGACATCCAACATGTAGCCACATGCAACATGTCATTGAATCGACAAACAAAGTCATTCTCACCAATAATTAATTAACAAACTCTCACAAACTCGAGTTTATGACTTATTCATGATTGACATTAAGTCACATAATTATCTCTTGACATGTTAATCTTGATTTACAGCGACATTAACTTTTGGCCTAACATGTTCCTCCTACGTCTCAACTACGTATGATTCAAGAAAATTATAAATAAAATAATAAAAATATATTATTAAAAATTAAATAATTAATCAACATGAATTTGAGATGTTCCGAATTAGTCTAGGGTTTTATATATATTGACTTTTTGATGTAAAGGTTAAAAAGATTAAAATGAAATAGTTAATATACCAATTGTAATTTTGAAATCAAAACTCAATGCCAAGAAATAAATCACTATAGTAATTTATTGTGATTTATTTACAAAGGGCAAATCCAACAATAAAACAAAAATGTTAAACTGTATTTCAAATCTTGATGTTGTAAACTAGAAACCTTAGTTACAAAGTAAAAAAAAAATTAAATTCGTAGTTACTCTGAAAGAAGTAAATATGAACTTCGCATGCTTCACCAAAAACTTGCATGCTAATAATCAAATTGCATTTCCTTTACATAACTTTCAAGTCTTTGACAACTTCCCCATTGGTCTCTCCCTATCAAAGTTCAATGGTAGTACGAACACTAAAACTTTATCTGAACTATGTATGAACATTCAACTCTCCAACAAATAACCATTCCTAGGCTTCAAAATAATCACATAATTTAAATAAATAAAAAATAAAATAAAATAAAATAAAAAGTGAGGAGATGGAGTCCACATAGCATTTGCATAACCCACCCTTCCACAAAAAATTTACAAGTTAATATACAAAGATTGAGGGCGTGGAGTTTTGGTACCTGATTGAGAGCTCCTTGAGACAAAATGTTTGTGGTGTTCTCCAGGATTAAATGGGATTTAAAGCTAACCATTAATCAGGATGGCCACGATACTGATATTGCGTTCAAGATGTACCTTTCTTATTCTTTTATCTTCTTTTCTTTGTCTCAAGTCATTTCTAATGTTGTAATTCAGGGTGCAAGTACCAGCACTTTGATCGTTCCTTGGCTGTTTGCTGTTAAAATTGTGGGGCTATCACTCTTCCAACAAACAGCGCTTATGAAATATGAACCTGCATCTTCATCATTATCTTCTAAATCTGAACTAAATCTATGCCAAGCCATTGGTTTCGATATTGCCTGCAAGTAAATCCCGTTTGAACAACTCCTTGATATCAACTGATTATCACAAGGAAAATCTAGAAGCAAATAAGGTGATTGAAAATAAATGATAACCTTGTGATAAATGAAGACTTCGTTAGTTTCACTGCCGCATGCTATGTATTCACTGTTTACTGTTAGACCCACAAAATTCTTCTCATTTGTGTGTCCTCTATACACACACAGCTGCAATGATGAAGAAACAAAGCAGGATAAAATCAAGAAAAAGAAAAACAAGGAGAAAAAAGAGCACAATTTTCATGAAGATCAACTCCAATTTGTATGTAAATAGACAACATATCAAGAAGATAACTCACAGGCATATATTCCTTTACATCCCATAATCGCAGAGTGCTGTCAGTCGAAGCAGATGCGAGTTCGTTGTTCGACAAGAATTTCACATAAGAAACTGCTTTCTTATGGCCATTAAAAACATGCAGAGGCTGGCTGATATTTCTCAAGTCGTAGTAGTGAATATTATGATCAGCGGAACCCACCTGAAAATGCTCGGTATTAGAGAAAGAAGGATTTGCTTCACTGTGCAAGTAAAAGTTCATCAAGATTGTCAGAAGATCTTTGGTTAGATGAATTCACACACATAATTTCGGTCCAGCGTTTATGATATTTGTGTAGATAGAGCAAAATAGACGTACCGCGACGTATAAGCTAGATCCTGGGTTGTACTTAACAGAGCAAACGTTTGCTTTCAGGTCAATGTTAAACACACTAGCTTCTTGCCTTGTGCACCAAATTTTGACCTGTTAAAAGAAATAGAAAAATGCACCTGAGAATAGTATCACAGAAAATAAGCAGAAATATAATTTGTTTCAGTAAAGACCATCCAGAACTGACCAAACTATTGACCCTTGGCCTATTTCTATAAATCATGTTTACCAGTAACAGTTTCAGTATGGATCTAAAATTATAACGGTGAATTGAGAGAAACAACTCAACAACTCAACAATTTCCATGTACAACGGTTGATGAGCCAAATATACTTTGTTCTTCAAGCATTGGAAACGTTGAAAATGATGCATCTGAGAAATCAGGGAATTGCTGGTTGACTCTCACGTATGGCCCATCAATCACAAATCCAATTTCTAAGATCAATGATTTTCACCAACTCAAACTTAAGTTACCTTACAGTCATCGCTGCCAGATACAAGCATGGTAGGTTCAGAACGTGAAAAATCTACACTCCAAGCTCGTTTTTCATGTTCTTCATACTCCATAACACTCTAAAAGAAAAAGAGCCTGTTAAAAAAGATAAATATGACCAAATAATGGAGAGATAGTTAACAAGCTAAGACAACTTTAACTAGATAACGGTCACCACCTGACGAGTATTTACATCCCAGACAGTTACTATTCCCTCGTAATCACTACTAGCAATATGACTTTTTGTGTACTTATTCCAGCTCAAACAGCTAAGTTTTGATCGTGTAGACATCTCAACAACGGGAAAGTGAACATCGGCTGGTTCATTTACTACCTGGAAATAGCAAGTACTATCGATAATTTATCAATCATATTCATATTACATTTAAAAAAATAAATAAAAGCAAATAAGATACAGTTATATCATGTGGCCATAAGCCACAACATAAACATTATTCTGAGTGAGGCACATTCAGTCTGAGCCCTTTCCCCACATGGATGATCCAAAGCCAGAATAATTTAAACTTAAAGATACAAGTTGCATTTACTGATACTTCTCAGTTAGGCACGAAATTTAAATATAATCTTTGTTATTTTATATGTTTAGTAACTTACTAATGAATCAACTAAGTTTCAGGATTTATATCAAGAAAATATAAAACAAACACCATCCATTAATACTGTGATTCAATCCACTAACATTAGATTAAATTAAATACGAAGTCCTTTGAAATATTCAAATTAAATTGGAAACCAACATATCAATATATATTAAAAAGAACTATACATTCTTTCTGATGCGGTGCTTTTTTGTTCCTTGTTTTAAAATTACAAAGTCAATAAATAATTTTCAAAAAGGTTCATATAACTCAATAATCTCCTACAAAATCTATAATCTTTATTTCTTAAGACTTTCATTATCTTATTATTCATAATACTTAATTTTGCAAATATAGAAAATTTATCAAAATTTTTCTGTTCTTTTCTTGGACTTCGATTTATAGGGTGACTTCTTCAGTGAATCTCCAAGAAAAATCTCCATAAAGGTGTTATCCCCTTCAGCTTGTTCTTTATGTTTGAAGGCCATTGAAATCAGAATCACTAATTATTTCATTGCCTTTTCTCTCGTCATTGCTAGAATGCCCTAATTTCTCTCACCGTTCTTGGGACTTTGGGGAAGATAACTTCTCTGGTGGGCTGGTTCTTCCCATCAAAACAAAGTTATTATGGTTTAAAGCTTGCAAAGCTATTCTCTTGGATTTTGAGTTGAAAAGAAATCGAAGGGCTTTTTAAGACAAGTCTTTTGGTTGAGTGGATCGATTTGAGCTTATCATGTTTAAGGCTTCCCGGTGGTATTCACTGTCTAATCATTTTTTTGTTTATTCTCTCAATGACATTTGTAACAATTGGGGGCCTTCGTAAGAGCTATGATTTTCTGGTTTTTTTATCTTTGATTTTATTTCTGTTTTTCTTCTCTTTTTCCTTCCTGAATCTACTCTTTGTAGCCTTTGGTTGGTCATATTCTGTTCCTCTGTCTGCTTATCAATGAATTCTCGTTTCTAGTTCAAAAATTTGCAATGTTTCACCGTAAATTGAAATGAATATTTCAAACATGCATGACTTTCTTGCAATTAATATCGTTTAAATTTTCCAATGAATAACCATTAAATGCTTACCGAGCTAAACTCAAAAACCTTGATGCAACGTGAAACACCAGCAGTTGCAAAGAACTCATCATCACGATCAAACTCTATACTGAAACAAGAATGACATGATTATCATTTCCGAATTGTTACTAACTCAAACAAAGCCTAAAGAAAATATTAAAGCACTTATCTCAGCGATAGAAGAAGGTTCAAAGTAACTTATGAAACAACAATTGAATGACAATAATCTCATTATTTCAGGATCCCTAACATTTAAATGTTTGCGAATAATGAGTTGTAAGCAAAAGGTTAGAGATTAGCTTAGAGAAAAATTTAACTTCGAATTCAACTTAATTTATTTTTTAATTGAACGATATCTACTAACGCTCAATCAATAATACCTTGATAGATCCAAATTAAAGTGTATGAAGATTAAATCAAGTTTTAGAATGATAAATAAATCCAGTAAAAGAATCTGAATCACTATGGCAGGATCTCCAAAGGAGTTAAATGTCTCAATGTATAATGTGAATGATGATCCCTCACCTGGATACAATATTTGCAGAGTGAAAAAGATCACCATGTCGAAGTTCGGCAATCACTCTCAATCGGCTAATCCATAGGCCATGTGATAAGACAGAAGTAAACAAATAGTCAACACTCACACAAGAAACCATAGCCAAATAGTTAAAACAAGTAAATTAAAATTGTACCTGTATCGCATAAAAGAAGTTAGAACAGACTGAAAATCTTCAAGAGCTGGATTATAACTTTCTCCACTGCTCAACTTTATATCTTTATCCTCTTGCTTAACCAAATGCTTCCTCCAATTTCGTCGTTTTTGCAGATAGTAGTCTTGCAATTCATTAAACTATATGAAAAAGAGGATAGATCCTATATGTCAATAAGTGAATCAAACAGTTACGTAGGCAGTCCATTTCTTGTTAACAATCCTATTTTTTCTAATTAAAGATTGGTTGACATAATAACATAGGGAGATGGACTCAGTAAGCATAGAAAATATACAATTATCCAAATTTTACCAAAAAAGTATCAATATGGTTCAATAAAAAAAAATGCAAGGAACAGGAAATAAATTAATGTATAGCTGCCTCAAACTAGATGCCTTAAGAGTTCCAAAAGGATGTCATCAGAACATTATGAAGAATTCTTTCCTAATCTGCTGATCGCACTTTTCTTCTTGTGCAAATAGTATCCTCATTCATATCCTCTTTGCTCTAGGTGAAAAATTCTTTCTTACTCACTCTCCCTATTTAAAAAAAAAAAAAAAAAGATTTAAAATGCTCAATTTTTCTTTTTTTCCCTAACCAGAAGCTGAAGTAACACACATTTTTATAATTGAAATGAAAACAGAGCACAAATATTAATAATAATAATAATAATAAAAGAAAAAAAAAGGCTAAGTCACTAAAAAAGAATCAATCGTGCAAAAGAAAACATGGTAAGAAACCGAGTTTTCATTGAGAAACATGAAAGAATAACCAAAGCTACAAAATAACAAGACAGACAACAATACAAAAGCCCCAAAAGCTACAAAAAGGAGGCAACAAAATAACAAGCCAGACAACAATACAAATGCCCCAAAAGCTACAAAAAGGGGACTCCAATTTAACCTTCCAGAGGGAGGAAAAGGCAGTGGTTTGGGACAGCAATGGAATTGACAAAACTAGAAAAAAGAGCAGCAAAAAAAAAAAAAACCCTTGAAGGATCAGGGGTCCAAACCCTCAAATCCCCCCGAGCACATGCAGATCAAGAATAATAAAAAGGAGACCCATTACATCAACCATTTATCTATTGGAAAGATGGCGACTGAAACACAACAATAAAGAGGAAGAGGGGTTAGAAGATGGTAAAATAGAAGGCACAGAATGAAACTTCTTGCTTAAAAAATGATATAAACGAGGGTACAACTCACAAAGAGACTTCTCACCCACCCACTAGTCTACCTCATACCCACCCCAATAAAACATTTAACATTAAGAAAAAAAAAAACGGACGGGAAACCAAAGGAAATTACTTTCTAGAGATTTTTAGGTCGACGAGTACCACCAACCTCAATCCACTTGAAAGGTATAGGTCGTACTGACTCACACTAACCTTGTGCCACAAAGTGTTAGGCTCCATGAAAAATCACCACAACTATTTGGCCAACAGAGATTTGTTACGTAGACTCAGGCTACTAGTCCCTAATCCTCCACTCCACCAGCTTGACCTCCACCTCCTACTAAACCAAATGGGAGCCTCCCTCATTATCCACCCCTTCCCACAAGAAATTTCTTCTCTCTCTTTTAGCTGAAACCAAAGTTCGGAGAGATCAAAAATAATTGGGATATATGAAACTCTTGGGACGTGATCTAACAAGCTTGTTGAAGAACAAGACCTTCAGATCTAAATTATCCAATAACCTCAAAAACGATAAAGAATCAATCCAAGGGTAAGTTTTTGAATGGATTAGCTTGATGATCAAGATCAAGAGTAAAGAAAACTCATTTCGAAACTCGTAATTCGAATCACTCCACAAGATAGTTTGATCAAGACTACTTGAATGACTCTTGCATGCAAATCTAAACACAAGAAATGCAAAGGAACAAGTTCTTGGTTTAAGAAGCATAATATGCCACTTTTATTTTAATATCCAAAATCTTCATGCTAAAGCAACAACATGAATGGCTATTTATAGTCTTGAAAATAAATTTTAAAGTAACCTATAGTCAAATGAAAGGTTGTAACTCTAACTAATTATAACTTAAAACCTTAAAAATAATACTCCAAAATTGAAAAATACAATGAAACATCCCTAAACCCAAGCATGTATGCAATCCACCCTGAATACTTTGTAGCATGATTAAGACACCTTATTTCATATCACTACCTTCCTTAGAGAAGAAGGCCTTCCTCCAAAAAGATAACTGCTTCTGAACCTAATTCACAATCGGGTTCTAGAATATAACGCTCCTATGGTTACCTCCCAGAGGCAGCCCAAGAAAAGATGGAAGCCAACCCAACTCACACCCCACCAAAGAGGCCCAAGAGCTCAGCTTAAAGAGGCAACAATTAAAGCCAATAGAACTTTTACCTCTGTTAATATTAAACCCAGGCATCACCTCAAAGAAGGATAAAAAATATTAAGGTTCGTAAAGGACTCTTGCCCCAAGCATAGGAATAGGGTATCATCAGCAAACTAAAGATGAGAATGGTGGACCAACTCCTTACCCACTTTGAACCCTCAGCCACTCTGTTCTTCATCACTACAAGTGATACAAGTCTACTCAAGACATTCACCACCATGATAAACAGAAAGAGCGACAGGTCCCCTTGCCTTAGCCCTCTAGATAGAGATCTTACGCCTAGGCCCCACACTCATAAAGATGGAGAAATTAGTAGACCTAATGCAATTTAAATCTAATATCTCCTTTTAAGTCCTAAACCCCTTCTTACCAAGGACCTTGTCAAGAATCAACTGTACAAGAAATGATTGATACCTTGGTTCATAAGGATTCATCCTCAAATCTATTTGTGAAATTTTGTCGCAAAAATAAGTTATGAAAATACTTTGCACTCATTTGCACAAATGAAGCTTTCAAATCTATTTGTGAAATTTTGGTTTTTAAACTTTGAATCAATTATAAGCTAAAAAAATATAAATAAATAAAAACCAAATTGAAAAGAAACGCAAATTAAACATATATACCAAATGATAAGGAATCACTCCAAGGGAGAAGAAAATTCAGATTACCTTGTCGATCAAATATCTCAAGGCAAGAATACTGATTTGAGATTCGAATCACTCCACAAGAAAAGTTGATCATGTCAAGCTTGAATGATTCTAAAGCTCTAATACCAAATGATAAGGAATCATTCCAAGGGAGAAGAAAATTCGGATTACCTTGTCGATCAAATATCTCAAGACAAGAATACTAATTTGAGATTCGAATCACTCCACAAGAAAAGTTGATCATGTCAAGCTTGAATGACTCTAAACATGCCACCTAAACTACATAGAATTGCAAAAAAACTTAATCATTGGCTAAAGGAAAGCACAAATGCTCCTTTTACTACATTTTTCAAGTCTCCTTTACAAAGACGACATATGTGGCTTTATGTAGCCTAAAAAATGAAACCATTGACCTTCCATGAGGCATTTCAAGAGTTGTAACTTTTATGCTTTGTAACCATACATAGCCACTATGTAGATGTAACTTAAAGTAATTAAATGTCATTGAAGAAACATCATTAACTCTAGATTATCATCCACTCAAAATTTGAAACCATCCAAGAATAAATGAAGCTTTATTCATCTTTAATCTGGCATGAATTACAACATCTTGTGATAATTTGAACAACATTTTTTTCACAACTACCTTGAAGTTTATCTTACATGATTGATGTCTTGGTTCATATCAGACTCCCTTTGTGGATTGTCATTTTCAAGCCCCCAAGTGTTAAAATGGGGAAGAATTATTTAGTTTTGCGAAGTTTTGATTTGTCTTCTAAGAGATATTAGGATTTGACTTGTGTGAAGATTTTTTATTTCATCGCTGGTGATGGTTCTTCCAACCTTCCTTTAATAGGTTAATAGGTTACTAGCTCAAAGCTAAAGAGCTTCAAGGTTGCTTTACGATGAGTTTTAATTGGTTGGTGGTTGGTTATTAGTTTTCTCGGGAAGAAATGAAGTAGCCATCGGTTTTCATCATTCATTTGGGAAATGAAGTAGCCTTGGTTGAGGCCTTATTCGTAGTTTCATCATTCATTTGCAAGCTCTCTAAATCTACCGTCGAAGTTTTTGGGAAAGCTCTTGGTTCTTTAAATGTTTGTTTATTTTTATGGTTAATCCCTATTTGATTGTATTTTCTGTTTTTATTTTTATTTTTATTGTTATTTTTATTTTCACTCCCTTTGGAAGTTTGTATCCCTTGAACATTTAGTTTTTTCATTATAACAAAAAGTTGTTTCTTTTTTAAGAAACATAACTTTTGAGAGGGCTCCACTGAATAATAGAGTATCAGTGTATTCAATGATCAGAATAAAAAGAGAATTAGTTCAGAACTCAAAGGCCGAGATGATATTTCCAAAAGTATGCACCACTAGAACCGAGAAGCTAATATTTATAGTCTTTAAAACAACCAACAAGATTAGTATTACAGAGAATACACATTAGGAAGGTCAAAAAGAATCTATCTCCAAATCACTGCAATTTCATTTACAGAAAGATTTGAGTACCTAAGAAGGCAGACTGGAATAGACCACTGAGATAATTTTTCTTTAGAACTGGAGTTTAAATAAATAAATAAATAAAATTACCTGTGTATGGACCCGCCTTTTATTTGCTACGCCTAGTCCGGATTGAGCAACAGAATGCAAATCTGAACTGCAGTGAGCATCTTTTCTAAGTAGTCCCTGAGAACCTACATGAGTCTTCGCATCTGCTCTAGCATTGGGTGAATTCCCAGAACTCATCCAGCCTTGTGACCGTTGGGGGCAACAATTAGCTCCATTTCCATTCTTGTCAATTAATGAAGACCGTGATTTTGTTGATACAGTGTCATCAACCAGCATTTTCATTTTCCCTGAATACCTTTCTTTGGACCTATATAGTTCCAATCTCTGTTTCTCCACAGAACTAATATCTTCCTTAATGTAGTGAAGATCAGCTTGTATCTATAATGGGAAAATAAATAAAAAATGAAGAAATTTAACAAAAGTTATTCTTGATCAATAAGAGAATCTCTGTATCTATAATGGGAAAATACTTTATGCATGCACTAACACTCAACCGGAACTTCTACCATTCAAGTTACACAGTCATAATGCCCTTTACATGCACATAAACTAAACTTTTCCAGATCCCATCCATATTGTATTGAAAAACATATGGTGATTCTCTGAAGACATGTAGCAAAATTGTGGATGTATTTGTTTACAAATGAGCAAAAGTATTGAAATAAAACTAACTCATTAAACCAGTTCAACAATGTCCGAAACAAAGGAAAATATAAACTCAACAACGAGTCAAAGTGCATCAATAAAAATGTTCCGAGAGTTAGATTGAAATTCAGAGTTCCATAAATTAAAATTTAGATGCCCCCGACAAATTTAACTATGTCAAGACTACATATTTAATCTCTGGCATTAAATCAAAGTAGTTTGTACTTCTTCAATAAAACTGTTTCATCTCCAACTTGATAAAGTTAAACTTACACAAATTCTAAACATGACATTACTCAGACCTCTTTATTAGATCTGTCAGTATCATCTTTAACACACAGAAAGGCAGCCCATCAAATTACAGATAGGATAACCAATCAAGTCTCAGAAAATACTTCTTTTATTTTTTTTAATAAGAGCACATAAAGTTGTTCATGTACACGATTTCTAATAAGCAAGGAACAAAAAAAAATGACAATTGAAGTAAAAGAGACCTCATTAAGCTCCTCAAGCTTTTGCTTTCTCAAGTAATACAAGAAGCCAAGTAAAATTTGCATATTTGTCTCCGCTTCTTCTTGCTCCATTTTTCTTTTCTTCTCAGCAAGGAGGGTTAAAAGTTCATCTAGATCCTTTATTGACATGTCACAGCCCTGATAAAGGAAACAAGGAATTTTAAGCTTGTGAATGAGGTCAATGAAAACATTGTAAGCAGATTAATAATAGGAGGTTTGTACTAAAATCCGCACATTAAATAGCAACGGTAGAATACTTGCATGGAAGTCAACCAAGAAAATTATATTATCCTAGAATCCCAATGTTAAAGGTAATAATGCACACCTTTACAGTTCATCAGTGGAGTGACAGTGAGTAGTAAATTCAGGGAGGGAAAACAAAAAAAAAGAAAGCTGTAACAGAAATTTTGCTGACCTTTTGTAATGCATGATGAAGATATTCAAATGGGGATGTAGTCTTTTTTATCTGACGAGCAGCAGTTTTCTTTAAGAACTGCAAAAATTGGTACACAAGTAACTACATATATGCATTGCAATGTCATAATTAAAGAACGCAATTTAAAATTCCAAAAAAGACAGTGACAATTGCTTGAAAAGGTTAGAGACAAGGGCATAAAAAAATTGTTTTAACGTAACATGAAGAAGATCGCTTGTCTAGTAATTTCCTTTAATACATGCTACTGTCAATTTAAATAATAGACTTTAAAAAGTTCGATTTCTTAGAAAACCAACCTTCTAGATTGCATATTTGGATCCCTACTCCTTGTTTGAATTGTAATAATCTAATAAAAGAATGTTGATTTATATAATAGCATAACCATTCAGGAGAAATTTTTAAATGATCAATGTATCGTCAGCATATTTGGATAATTTAATATTGCATGAGACACTAGATATAATAGAAGTTTACAATATTGAAGCATTAAGTAGAACTACTGCATACTGAAGATTTTAGGAACTTCTACCAAGTTAGATCAAGGTACAATAAGTGAAGGTGAAGCAAGAGCTTAGCTGCTAGTAAACTATGAAAATATTCATTTTCTACCCTCTTTTTTCTTTGATGTGAAACAGACATTTTGTTGGGAATGCGAAGAAATTTACAAGTCTAACAATCTTAGAAATTAAAGAGATTACTACACCCAGAATGGAATGACTTCCAGTACAACAACAATCTAACCGAGACCAGTAGTTTAACCCTCCAGCGTGCAATCTTAGGTACTTAGTCGCCAACATATACTTGGCAAAAATATGAAGTTACATGTGATATCAACTGATATTCGTATACTCAAGCTTGGGGTTCGAATAAAACTGAAAAGTTTAAGAAACTTCTGTTTCAGTGATAGGAATTAGAACCAATTGAAGTAATGGCAACTAACCAATCCAAGTTAAATCTCTAGAACTATGCCCTCCTTAAATAGTAAAATTAATATTTCTCCTAAAAGGGAATCACCTAAGTTCGATCACGAGAAATGAACGGCAAACCTTATCAAGCAAAATATTGGGGAAAATACTGTTGCTTCTGATGAAATTACTGCAACAAGGACAATCACTCTTATTCCGAAGGTGAGTAACAATGCACATATAGCAAAAGCTATGTCCACAGGTAGTGAGAAACGCATCCTTAATGATCTGCATGCAAATAGGGCAAAGCATATCCTTATCCAAATCCTCGGCGTTGACATCAGACGCAGAGGCCTTCGCCTCTCCGGCATCGAATTGAGCAGCCATCACAACCGGCAGCGGCGGCGGAGGAGGAGAAGAAGAAGGAGGAGGAGGAGGAAGCGGCAGCGGCTGCGGGGCAGGGGAAGCAGTGGAGTCGAGAGCAGAGGGATCAGGCTTGACAGTAGGAACCAATGCGCCGATAGAACCCCCACCCATAACTGATAATCCTGGTGTTCCAGAGTAGTAGCTGAAGCAATGGAGATATTTTGGGAGACGGGGAGTGGAGAGCCTGAGAAAATTATGTGGCTGCCATTGAAGGATGGAGAGAGGTTTAAAGAAGGAAAGAAGAAAGAGAGGAATCAATCAAAAGCTTTGAAATGAAAATCAATGGTGGGTTCGTTTTGGTTTTGGTTTTGGTTTTGAAGAGAGTGGAAAATATTGGCGTCGTTGCCTTTTTGGACACATATTTTTGTGAGGGCCAAAACTGCCCACGTTAGGCGGGCGATTTCTTTTTCTTTTTTTATTTAATATTTTATGTTTTTTTAAATTAAAATGGCTTGTTAATTTAATTCTCTCCCGCTCGACAGAATGTTGTGAATTCTGACTTGTAGTCCATTGTTAAACCTCAGACATTTGTTTTTCAAGTCGATCTCATATTTCTGGAAATAAATCTACACATTACTGTTGAAATCATCGATGGAGGTGACGTGGAACTTTGATCCACCTACTGATGGAACTAGAGATGGTTGCCAAATGTCTGTATGAACCATTTCCAACTGCACTTTCTTCAATTCTCGAGCAGCCTTTGTGAAGCTAACTCATTTTTATTTGCATGCAACGGAGCTCTCATAGGAACCCATATCAACAATTTTTATGCCTTATAAAACGCCTTTCGTGGGCATCATCCTCATTCTTTTGACGCTCATATGTCCAAGTCTATTGTGTCGTAGACCTTAATTTGAAGCACTCTCAGCAACAACAGTCATATTTACACATCGTGCAATGGTGTATAAGGTTCTAGATTTTGTGTCATGTGCTACACAATAGTACACCATAGCACCCTTCACAATCTTTCACGAACTCTTCTAGACTCTCTGCATCCTTTAATGTCCACTAATTTTCAGACTCTCTGCGTCCTTTAATGTTCACTAATTTCCTGTCAAAATGTTAGACATCCTCATTTCCTTCAATCTCCAAGGCTTTGTTGTCGGCAAAATACTCATCGAAATTTTTAGACTTAAAATTTCAAAACGGTTCCTTATTTGGAGACGAATGAAAAGATGCACATGAATCTAAAATCTAGGATTCAATCGGATTGTCCACGCTGAGGATTAGAACATCCCCAATGTCTTCTGCTGAATTTATAGAATCATCGCCCTCCTCTAATTTGTGATTATGTTTTCTCTTTGATCTTGTACAATCTGTCTGAAAATGACCATCTTCTCCACTACTCCAACACGTTAGGTTGGTCTATTTGGAAAATTTTTACAGTTTTTTATTTTGATTGACCTTTATTTGGGACCTTTGATTTACTTTTTCCCCTTTAATGAACACTAAGAGCACTGCCAGATGACTCCCCAATTTCTCGTTTGCAAATACTTTCCTAAGAACTATATCTTGGATTTCATCGAACTTCAGTTTCTCAGATTCTTGGGAACTATTGATCGCGACAACAACAATATCCCACAACTCGGGTAAAGAAGACATCAAAATCATTGCTTTTATTTCATCTTCGAAATTAATTTCCACCAAAATCAGTTGACTTACCATTCTATTGAATTCATTTATAAGATCAATAACAGATCCACTTTCAGACATTTGTATATTGAACAATCTCAGCATCAAATACACTTTGTTTATAACCGACAGTTTTTCATACATATTCAACATCACCTTCAACAGATATGACGTTGTCTTCTCTTTGATGATGTTGAACGTCATGTTTCTGAACAACGTCAACCGGAGCTTCCATTGCTCTATGGACATGGTATCCGACTTCACCCCCAACAGGGGTTCATGAAAATTTTTTTGGTACAGATAACCTTCAATCGAAATCAGATCGATCAAACTTCTCAATTTCAATCTTTGAACTTTTCTTCTTCACAGATCGTGGTGAATCTCGCCTAACTTTGATACTAGTTGTTAGGATCGCACAACAACACACACAAAACACTCGATCTAGATGACCAAAAAAAAAAAAAAAGAAAGAAAATACAATGAAGAATATTAATTAAAGGTTTATATTGATAACCATATATAGTATAGTTAGTTAAGTTAGTTAAAGGTTTATATTGATGAAAGCATGTACAAACCAATCTCAAGAGTATTATATATTATATATATATAGAGAGGTTTACAGGCTATTATATATAACTATATATATATAGATAGATAGTTCTTTACTATAGATGTAACCGTATATAGCACATAGTTCTACTAGTCGTTTACCCAAAACAAACATCAATTTTTTAAAAAAAAAATTACTGACCGGTGTATGTCATTTTTTAAAAATTTTACCGAGGGTGTATGTTTGAAGTATCATTTACCAAAAAGATAAATTTTACATAGGATCAAAACATAAGAAAGTAAATATATATACAAAAATCAAAGATTAAGAATTATGATGCGACCAATACAGTCAGTGAACACAAAGAGTACAATATATTTTATAATATTGGTCTTCGACTTGAATTTGATTTCTAAATAATTGGTATAACAAAGATAGGCTCAATGTCAGCTTGTACAAAACCATCAAATAATCTATATATGAACCTTACACTCTTTCTCGTGTGAACGTGTGAGATATTTGCTATGTGAGAATCTGGTGAAGTTACATTTTCTTTCTATGTACATGCATATAATACTCATCATAATTTTTGCTTTACCGGAGGGGAAGAAGTGACGGCTTTCTTTAGACAGTCTACAATGCCTTCACAATCTGCTGCTTCAGGAAGGTTGCAGAGTGGCTCATCATCTTCAGGACAGCTCTCTGAATACGAATGTGGGGACCGGAGATTACCGTGTGATTGACACGCTCTCATGGTCTTGCAGTGCTCGGCTTCGTCGTCTCTGATGTTCACGAACACATCGTACAAGTTATCTAGATAGCAAAGGGGTAAACAAATTTCACAAGATTATCTTCTAAATAATTGAGAGTTGTAGAACTTTAGATGTTTCACAATCAGTTATAATTTAAGGTAAATTTTGGAAATGAAGCTACGAAGGTAACAAACTTTTAATACTCCTACTCTTCACGCTGCCCTCATTAATCAATTTCTTGGGTGCATTTAAATTACTACGGGACTTTCGAATAAGAACTTCTTTGTCAACTATCGGTGGTACGGATTGGATTCGCAAGATGCTCAAATTGTCTCCTTAGCTTTTGCAATCATATTGAAATATAGGCTTTTGAGATCTCCCACGCTGACTCTTGCTCTAGCATTATAACTAGCACGCTGACTCGAGCTTATTTAGGATTTCTTGACCCTTTATTTAGATTCTTTAGTGGGGCTTTCAAAAAGAGAACTCGGCTTACTCTATTACCTTATTTATGAGATTTTCTATCTCATCTGATTAGCTGATACTGGCTCAGAGGTTAGAACGTTAGAATATTCAGTCCAAGTGAACTTTCTAACATAAACAATACAGACCATCTACCACCTTACATCAACTATTACGTATTATACTATCAGCCAGCAATTTATCGGCTCATTTAGTAAACTGAGGGAGCTTAAAAAATAGGGTTGGCCTAAACCCTATTTTTGCCAACCTTTTTTGGAAAAGGAACCTTTTCTTGTTTAAGACATGCCTTCATGGCTGCTTATGTCATGATATATTAGACTATGAACTACAGTAACTAATTCTGATTTCAAAATTTACCTATTTTTGGTCTTCGTGAATTGGGAGCTCTGGAAGTTTGAAATTCATCTGAATGAAATCAATTTCTTAGTGTCAATTTGAAGTGAATAAAAAGAACTGTGCATGTGGTAAGGTAAGAAAGCTAGAAATTACCAAATAAGTATAAGTCTCCTTCAGTGTAATATTTCACAGCAACCTCGGGAGCAGGCAACTTTTTCAACTCCTCTGTAGATAAACACAAGGAAGAATACATGAGAACAATATTCTTTTTTGAGATATACTGTTAACTAGAAGAAAATCAAGATCATGAACCTCTAGTGCAACCAACATACCTCCTTGGGCCTTTAAAAATTTATCATAAGTTGAAAATGCATGGCTTTCAACACATTCAGACAAGTGATCTGCACTAATCAAATATCAGTAGAGAAAAATGTCATTGAAAGTTGAATGCAAAAAACTTGAAGATGTTACAAGTGCAGCAAAGTAGAAAGTGTCCCAAAGTATCTAGTCACTTCTTATTGTTTTACATCAAAACTGGTGCCAAACTGCAATTTATATTTTAATTTCATTGTAGGTTCTATAAGGAGCAAAGCTGTGAGATCTCATATTGATTGGAGAGGGGAACGAGTGCCAGCGAGGATGCTGACCCAGAAGGGGAGTGGTTTATATTCGGGCGTAGATTGTGAGATCTCACATCAATTGGAGAGGGGAACAAGTGTCAGTGAGGACACTGAGCCCCAAAGGAGAGTGGATTGTGTTCGGGCGTGGATTGTGAGATCTCACATCAATTGGAGAGAGGAACAAGTGTCAGTGGGGATGCTAAGCCTTGAAGGGGGGTGGATTGTGCTCGGGCGTGGATTGTGAGATCTCACATCAGTTGGAGAGGGGAACAAGTGTTAGCAAGGACGTTGGCCCCGAAGGGGGGTGGATTGTGAGATCCACATTGGTTGGAGAATGGTGGAAACCTCTTCCTAGCAAATGCATTTTAAAAACCTTGAGGGGAAGCCCAAAAGAAAAAGCCCAAAGAGAACAATATCGGCTAGCGGTGGGCTTGGACTGTTATAAAAACCATGTCAATTTTCTGTTTTCTAGGTAATTTGTTACGATTTCAAAAGCAAAATGAACAAGCCCATAAAAGGATGCAAGGAAGAGAGTATAAGCAGCTGTTAATTTATCAACTCCAACAATACTTACAGGCCATTCTGGGGCTAATCATATACATAACCACTGTCATAAAATAGTAAGCAACAGCGATATGTTGAGCAAGAAAGCGATCAAACCACCAATCATTACCCCCCAATTCCTGCACTCAACTCGGAAAAGGAGTTAATTTATTCAGTAGTTCAATGTCTAGATGGGTGCATATACTCGAACAGTTCACAAAGATTATGAAAATGAAAATCTTGTAGCAAATAGTCAATTTAAGGAAAAGGATACTATGCCATTTAAAAGAAGCCCAAGATAATAAGTACCTCCATGATCAGCAAATGATGCATCTCATTCCAGCTCTCGGCAAAGTGAACTTTCAGATAATCAGCTCTTCTCCACCAGCCAAAACTTTCGTACATATGCAGAACTGACAGAAATGCTGCCATTTAAAACGGACAAATTAGGAACAATTACAAAATATATGCTAATGTCCTCATCCTCGAACAACATCCACAGGAGCTGTACAATCTAGCTCCAAAATGAAATTAGTTTCACAATGATTCTTTTAACTTAAACACCTATCTGCATATTTGTTATAGAACTCAATTTCTTGTGAATGAAAATGTTCTTCATTAGGTGTCATAAAGTTGCTTCAATAGCCTACTGTGAGATCCTACATCGGTTGGGGAGAAGAACGAAATATCCTTTACAAGGGTGTGGAAACTTCTTCCTACCAGACACGTTTTAAAAACCTTGAGGGGAAGCCCAAAGAGGACAATATCGGCTAGCGGTGGCTTGGGCTGTTACAAATGGTATCAAAGCCAGACACCGGGCGATGTGCTAGCGAGAAGGCTGAGCCCTTAAGGGGGGTGGACACGAGGCGGTGTGCCAGCAAGGATGCCGAGCCCCGAATGAGGGTAGATTAGGGGGTTCTACATCGGTTGAAGAAGGGAACGAGTGCCAGCGAGGACATTGGCCCCAAAGAGAGGTGGATTGTGAAACCCCACATCGGTTGGAGAGGATAACAAAACACCCTTTAAGGGTGTGGAAACCTCTCCCTAGCAGACACGTTTTAAAAATCTTGAGGGGAAACCCGAAAGGGAAAGCCCAAAGAAGACAATATCTGCTAGCAGTGGGCTTAGGCTATTACACCTACCATAGCATAGTGCATTTAGATAACAAACTTCGCCAGCAATGAGAATAAAAGTCCTACCCATGTTAAGATTATTCAGATTAGCTCTGTCTCTAAGAACGAATAAAAAAGAAGATCATAACAACGTGCTAGGCATGAAGTAAAATAAAGCTCAATATATCTTAGAAACTCACCAAAGTAGGGAACCCTTGCAATAGTTTCCAAGACAAAGAACCTTGGATAGTGTCTGTCGTGGTAAAAAGCGTCAAGAATTCTTATAACTGAATCCTGAAAAGATGAGTAAAAGTTAAGTCATGATTCAACATATCAGAAGATGAAGAGAAATTTTTCAGAGGTGATCATTTTTCTTGGACAAATTTTACCGTGAGAAGAACATTAACAGATTGTTCAAGCTTAATGATCCATTTATCCAAGGCATTGGAGGATGAATTTTCGGCTCCTCCCTCACTTCCCCCTTCCCCTCGGTCGACAGGAGAAGCCTTGGGAGGAAATGACTCCTCAATAACAACTTCTTCCTCATCTTCCTTCAGAACAGTTGCCAGCACTCGACACAACTTTCTACATCACCAATCACAAATGATAACAAGGAAATCGATAAAAAAAACAAACAGAATTCCAAAGAAAGAAAATGAAGTTGCGTTAAGAATTCTCAAAAGCCTAATAAGAAACCAGCCCTAGAACATTCTCCGTTCACTCAGACATTTATACAAACACTAGATATGCAAATCCATAACCATCTGAGATCCGTTGATCCCGCTGTTCAAGAACTATGTACAGGAACCCTTACCTGGAAACTAAAGGGCGTGAAGAGAAGGAACGGCGAGAGAAGGCAGTGCCGATTCTGAAGGAAGCAATGTTTTTGGTGTTGTATGGATTCAATTGGACGGAGGAGGTTCCAAAAAGTGCCGAAGACGAAGAAGTCCAAGCAATCGACATGGTTTCGGAGCGAGGGAGAGAATCGTGAAACCGAGGTTGGAATGGTGGAAGGGAATCTGGGGAAGTATGGGGAACGGTAGAAGAAGCCAATCGGCAGCTAGCACTTTCCGCAGGCCATTTCCTTGCTTTGCCAATATCAATCAAGTTTTGTATTTTGTTTTCTTCGTCGTCATTTTTCTTTTCCAATTTTTTTTATTCCCTTAAAGTTTATCTCTTAAATCTCATTTTGAGATAATAAGTTTCTACTGTGTTCTCAACTTTTAAATTTTTTATTTTAATTTTTCAAATTTAAAATTGTTGAGAAAATAAATAAATCAACCTAAAGACAACGAACAAAACCAACGTTTAAATACAAAATAGAATCCAATTAGAGGAGGATGTTGTTCAAATTTATTACAAAAAAGGAAAAGGGAGTCAAATATAATAAATAGATTGACGCTCCAAAACGACCCCCTATAACCGTGCAGCTCTCGAACACTCCTCCACCTTGATCGGTAGCATGTGAACAAGAAACCTACTTGTAGGCCCTAATTGTATTCATGACCTAATAGGTCACCACGAGCTTTACTTTAGGCTTTAGGTGTATTGCTCTTGTTGTGCACAGACTTGGGTAGCTAGCTTAGCCTACACAATGGTAATCGGTATCTGATATCTGGTGTTGAGGCTCTACCTCAACGAACGCTCTCTAACAGGTGGGGGACACCATGGTGAGTGTTAGCTTGTTCGTCATCCATTGGAGGTAGCTAGTGAACCCATCCCACAAGTCATGGAGTCGCCCAAGGTCAGGGCATTAACCCTTGAACTTGTTAACTCCACTAATTACTCACATGATCAACATCCTCCCACACGAAGGAACCACTGCATAGGGTAATCCAACCAAATTCTTTCTCAGGTCACGCATCTCTAATCGGCCTCACACCTAGCTCAATGGTACCAAACCGTGCTTTTTAGTTTCATTAGAGACGGTTGCTTTCCTAATTTTTATCTCTATTTCCTCTACATTTTTTTACGGGTTGTTTCCGACGTTCTCCATCCCCAACCCACGCCATGGACATCTCTAATTACCATCTTAATATTTTAAATACTTGAAATGAAATATAAATAATGTTACACCAGAGATTCAAAAGCACCAGTGGTCTAGTGGTAGAATAGTACCCTGCCACGGTACAGACCCGGGTTCGATTCCCGGCTGGTGCATAAATTGCGTTTTGCGATGAAAAACTAAGCAATTATTATTATTTATTTATTCTCCAACAACGTTTAAAAGTTACATCTTCGTATGTTTTACAAATAGGTTAAAGCTTATTGGCCACTTCTAGCTACCATTAACAAGTTTGCACCCTTCGTAAAAAAAGAATAATAATTAAACAAACAAAATGGTCCACCAAAATTAAATTAAATCAGTAGAAAATATAAAAATTTCTAATAGATTAATTAAATTAAATCTCAGGCTAGTAAAGACGCCTACGAGAATTGAAATTCAAATCGTTCTAGTCATTTAGATATGAGAAAACCAAAAGAAAATAATGACAACTCGAAAGAAAAGAATAGAAAATTGACACTAACGATCCGGGTCGACAACCCTTTGTGACGGTTCAGCTCTCAAGAATTGAATATATTTATAGGAGTACCCTGGTTAAAGATAAAAATAAAATCAATATCATGTCAAAACAAAGAATTTAGCCTAAAATCATATCTATCTCGATATCAGCCAATTGCTCTTTAGTATGACAATGTTGTAACATCACAGTTCCATCTTTACTTAAATCACGGAGGAAGTGGAAACGATCATCAATGTGTTTGCTTCGACCATGCAAGACAGGATTTCCATTCCGCTTATAATGGAACTATTATCACAGGACACCATTGTAGCTCCAACTCGGATATGATCGAGTTTTTCCAGCATCCTTCTTAACCATATGGCTTGGCAAGCACAAGCTACAGCTACAATGAATTCAGCTTCAGTCGTGGAGAGTGTGACTACGTGTTGCTTCTTTGAGGACCATGAAACAACTCGTGAACTTAGATTTGTGAGATTGTTCCTCCAACGCTTCATCCACCATTCCTTGACTGATATTGCATTCATTTTATGAAGTGGCAGCAGTTCAAGGCCGAAGAGTTAAAGAGAAAGTAACACACAGATTGTACACCAAGATAACAAATTGAGGCACCAGTAGCATTCCAATCATAAACCCCATCGGTTGTTTTATCTTTCATCCCCAGTGTTAAAGATATTTAATATTAAATTATAGTTTACCATATATATTATATTTGATATTTTATTAAACACAAATATTTAGATATTAGCCTTATTACCATAAGTATCTATTTATTATTATTTCCATATCCTTGTAATTTATTTGATTATAAATGGAGAACTTTCACACACCATTTAGGTGTGGTGGATTAAGCAAACATTCTCATGGTATCAAAGCCCTTTCGGTTTAGCAACCTCGATCCTGTCTTTTCAATGGCTTCTGAATTCTCTACTATTCTTCTCCACCACCCGTGCTGGCTTTGACGTTGTAGGGGCAGTCACCATGGCTACCGCAGGTGGAGCCGATTGATTACTCTTCGACTCCACCTTATTTACCTCCAAATCACCTTTCACCATACTCTGTACATACAACCTCACATTTTCCAACCCAATCGGTTTTCCCTTAACCAATATAGTCTCTTTCATTTTCTTCCCAATCTTCCCTTCAACGTTCACAAAAACCCTAACCTCATGATCCTCATCAGCATTCTCATAAAAAATATACAGAACCTCGAGAAGGCTATTGACCTTCTACAAAGATTTACCTTCGAAATCTGAGTGTCGCATTGGCCTCTTTGCCAACCAAAATTGGCTTCTTCGCCCACTGTGGCGACTCTTTTGGCTTGAACATTGTCTTTGTCCCTTGCTCTAGGTTTCCCCCTTCTACCTCTTGGGTTAGAAATATTATCACCGGAGCCAAGGCAGCATCGTTGCTGAGCGACGATCCATCTTCATGGGTTAGACATATTCTCGCCAGAGCCAAGACAGCATCGTCGTTGAGCGACGATCCCTCTTTATGGGTTAGACATATTCTCGCCGCAGCCAAGGCAACATCGCCGCTAAGTGCCGATTCCTCTACAATTTTCAATGGGCAAAAAAGTATTTTTTTTACGCCTCCTCCGAACCAGGTTGTTGACATCTTCATGAAAAGTGTTTCTAGACCTCTCTTTAAATTTTTCAGATCTAAGCTTCACGTTCGTTCAAATCCGACGCTCAGCTTGCGGGGGGGTATTAAGGATATTTAATACTAAATTATAGTTTACCATACATATCATATTTGATATTTTATTAAAGATAAATATAAATATTTTCCTTATTACCCTAGGTATCTTTACCTATATTCTTTCAATTTCTTATTATTTCATATCCTTTAATTTATTTGACTATAAATAGAAAACTTTCACACACCATTTAAGTGTGGTGGATTAAGTAAACCCTGCCTAAGAAGAGCCAATGAGGCAAGTTCAACAACAAAACAAAACTCACGTGATATCCTAAAGAAATTTTTAAGAAAAGAATTTGTTTTTGCCATTGTTTCAATAAGCCCCATTATAAATGAATAACCTAACACGCTCTCGTCTCGGGGATTCTTCGTTGACATGCTATCGTTCGGCATTTGATACAACTTAAAAGCGAAATTCAATGCTAGTGATTCGTCTTAGTCGCACCTGAGTGACTCACGCCATTAGCTCCGCCAGTTCTTGTTTCACCATGTTGAATTTGAACCCGATCCCAAGTTCTTTCGCTAGTTGACTTAGTGACTCGCTGACCTATTTCAACCTCTTGTCTCCGCCGTTCTCAGCCACAACCGCTGTCAATTTCATGACGACCTTCCCTTTTTGTTAACCTGAGAGAACGTACAATTTTCAATCCTCTTCCTCTATCGCCTCAAGAATTGCGAGATTTGCCGCCATGAAAACAAGCTTAAAGCAAGGAGAAATATAGTAAAGCGACTAAGTCGCCACCGAGTGCTCGTCGCCGAAAATCTCTGCCATAGGAGGAGGAAATTTCACTGGATTTACCTATGATTTCAAAGCGAAAATCATATCCATACACTCTGCCAATCTCTGCACAAAACTACCTCTCGCATTCGAAATCTTAACCACCGGCGTAAGAATCTTATCCACAACCTCTAATTTTCCCTCAGAAATCACGGTCGCAGCCTCGATTACAGACTGTTTCCAAAAATCGAAAGATGAAGAAGTCGTAGGGGACAATGTAGATGAAGAACAAGAAGATGAAGTAGTGGTAGTCGGAAAAGCAGGAACTGGCTTCTGATTCGGCGATGCCGTCGGACTAATTAGATTATACATAGTCTCACACCAAGTGCTAGTCGAACTCGTAATCACAGATGCAACATCACTTCCATCATTGTTGTTATCTTCAAGAAGTTGTTTCTCCAACTCCGGAAGGTGATGATTCATCGTCATCTTCTTCTCCGAGTCCAGATTCTGCAAATTTGGAGGTCCACCGCTATGAAAACTATCTGCATCTCTGTTAATCCTCTACCTGAGGTACTTTTTCTAGACTCCAAATCTCCTTTTGATCACATAAGTAGGAGGTTGTGCCACATAAATCTCCTCATCCAAGCTATTTTTTCTTTCTACCACTCCATTTTGTTGTGGTGCCACATAAGCAGGAGGTTGTGCCACAAACTTTTGAGTCCTCCTTTTGTTCTACCATCTCTTCAACATATGCCATGAGAAGTAGCGGTTCAGAAGTTTCAGCAAAATGAGCTTGTGATTCTTTTCTCTTCATCTTCTTGGGACATTCATACTGAAAATGACCAAGGTCATGACATAAAAACACTAAACAAGAGTTTTGTTAAAATTTGGTCTCCCATGTCCTCGTCCTCATCCTCTACCTCGAATTATGCCACATCCACGATTTGTTCTCCCTATACTGCTATCAAGAGTGGTCTTCAATGCTTACTCTTCCACAGTATGTCTTTGCATACATTGTTCATGAACCAATAGAATACTCTGCAATTCATCAATTGTCAGGATGTCCAAATCGTTGGATTCTTCAATGGAGAAAGCCACTTAATCAAACTTTGAAGTCATGGAGTACAGGATTTTTTCAATAATGCTAACATCACTCATCCTTTCACCATGGAAATGCATTTTA